ACATACTGACAGACATACGTAGTAAATTATATATAGTGGGATGGGACATCGTGGATTTCCTTTAAGAATGGCGAAGGACTATGTATATGTGACGTATGGTAATACTTCACAACGCTGTCCCTTTTTCAGTACTGAGTAAGGGTTTAACAGAGCAACATTCGAGTGCAATATGGGCCCGAGGTACTAAAGACGAAGAGGGCGAGAGTAGGTTTGGTCAATGTTACACGAAGCGCAAGGCACGCGCAATGTGAACCAAGAAGTCATAACATCATCTGTATCTTTATCACGAGTGATTGCTAAGTAATCTACCACAAGTTCTTCCATATTTTGTATAGCGGTGACAGTGACATAGTCTGCGACGGTTTCCACCATGTGGCGTATTGAAGTTGTGAAGGAGCTGGAAACACATGAAACCACTCCAAAAAATCTCAATTCATGAAATAACTGACAATCAATAAAAAACATTCCAAACTTGTGCTGTGCAGACCTGAAAAAGAAAAGGAAGTATACGAAATGACTGAAACTGCACCAACTAGGTTCTCAAATGAAAAATCGGAGATCTTTCAGAGTATCAAACTGAAATTAAAATATGAAATTTATAACATCCCTTACATGATCCACATTGGTTTGGCACGTTCCCGGGATATGTACAGTCGCATTTGTAGGCACAGTAGTCGGTTATGCTGTAATCCACAATGCAGGTTCCGTTACCATCACTCGGGTCCACATTCACCCGACATTTCCTCTTCGCTGTAGCCGTTTCGCAAGGATCTGTGTCTGTAAGAAGGCAGATCGCGTCATGGTGAAGGTAAGCAGTGACAAGTGTGCCACTGACATGTGCACGGTCCAGAGGTCGACTTCTGGACCCTAGTGCAAGATTCGTGACTGAAGATAAATGTAATACCTTGTGAATCAGCTGGTAATCGCAGTCTGTCGCAGAGGACTGTGACTTGACTGTCATTCAAATGAACTACTCCTTCGGATAAGCGATTTCTAATGAATCCATGGAAATGGACTTCCCGATGAATTCATCCTCACAAAGAACGTACCCAGTTCAGAACCATGGGTAGAATCAGCGAGGTTGACCCGACCTAGGATTCCCAAATCAGCTTCCAATAGGGAATCATGAGGCTGACGCCTCCTCAACGACAGGAATTGAGAGGCGTCAGCCTCATGATGAGAGATAAGGCTCTTTATAGGAGTGGATGAGAGTTTTCGGTAACAACAGAGCGTGAACCTCCTCCAACCCTTCCCCTTGTCCCTCCCCCCTATCGAAGGTTTTCTAGGAAGCATCGGTTCAACTAGTATAAATATTTTGATGTATGAGTAGAATAGCGAAGCTCTTCTCTTCATTGAATCTTTATTATATGACAACGTTTCGGGCATAAGCCCTTCTTCAGGTCACTCGATCTTAAATCAAACAGCTACCCTTACAACGTTACAGCATCAATAAAGTAAACTTAGCAATAACCCACACTATGTAGAATGGGGAGAGGAGTACAAAACTCCGATAGCCCTCACTACGTAGCAGTACTGGCAGAAATGAAAGTGGAAGGATTGGGATCTTTTATAAGAGGTGCGGGACAAGGGTGATCTCGAATAAG